ACAGTTCATGGCAGCAACCAAGCTGGACCCCGACCTGGCGGCCGAACTCCGCCTCCTGGATCGCCGTGCAACCGAAACCGTGAACGCTATACCACCGAGTACAAACACGCCAGAAACCTTGAGGAGCGTTGGACCTCCGCAGCCAACACCACCTGACACGTCCAACACTTCGTCTGTCTGCCTCGCCACTGGATGGCGTTAAATGCCAGCGTTGCACGGCTCTCTAGCCGTCCGACGACACGCCTGCACGGCTGGGTGCATCCCTTGCACTTGTGGGTTCGACTCCCACACGGGTGTAGTACTACACGCACGGACCGTCGTACTCGTGCCGCCCAGCCGGGGGACTACGGCCCCCTCGCGGGCGAAGCAGCCCGCGTCTAGTTGAACTAAGGAACCATGCATGTTGGATATGGTGCACACATGCGCACACACCAAGTGCCAGTGCTTGAGTGGTAGATGTGGGTTCGAATCCCACCGATGGTCCCCTGAATGTAATAGGACGGGGTGTAGTGGGCCAGATTAAGCGGTCAGGTGGCAGCCTTGGAGGAGCTGCTCTGGAGCCAAGACCTGGCTTTAAATAAGAGGCTAATATGCCTGGCGGAAACTAACAGCACCATAAGGAGTGTTGGATTGGAGGCATGGGGAGTTAGCTAGCCCCTGGGCCACTGAGTTATCAGATGGTTAAAAGTATTTCAGGATGGAAGCGCTCCTGCATTGATTAGGGTAAATGGGTGCTGGTGTGTGCACCTTGTGGTAGATATTCTGTGCGGCTGTACTCAAGTAGAGCATGCATCTGGTGGCATGGGGGCTGTTGGCACCTGGGCTAGCTGAGCTGGCAAATGGACTTTCAGGTGAACACAGTTCTGTGATGATTAAGGTTGGTGGTGAGCATCAGCATGGGCTGGTGCAGTGTATGGACAAGGTGGTACACCCCTCCTCAAATGAGGAGTGCTTCAGTGGTCGTTCCCGTTGGGGTACGGTTAGGTGCCCCTGGCCAGTGTCAGGCCCGGATCGATATGTAACAACCAACATGTGTGCATGGCAGCTATGCAGAAGTCATCAAATGATGCTTGCCGAGTGGTGTACCTACCTGTTGTGAGCAGATGCAAGAGAGCAACTCTTCCCGTGAGACTGCCATGGGTGTTGCCCGAGACCTTATTACAGCATGCCACACCTTCTTGTGAATTGCGTGGTCATCCTCGCAGCCACCAGCAAAAGACTGCTGCCAAAACGACCACACACAGCCGCAGATGCAATAGCTAACTACAGCCTGGGCAGTCAGAAATCGAACACATCCCAACACTAGGGTTTTCCGGTACTATGCTTCCTGTTCTGCAACATCAAACCCTAAATCCTCAAACGTTACCAGCATATGCTTCCGCTAACGGCTGTGCAGCCTCGGCAGGCAGTGAGAGCCCGCCGCTTCTGCTCATGCTTCTTATGACCGCCTCCTGCCTTGCGAAGGTGCTTGTGTCACATCGACTTCTTGTTGGCCGCCTCCCACACCTCCTTGTACGCGCTGCTGACGAGCTGGGCACCGCGGGCGTGGTGCAGTCCGTGACGCCGTCGCCCAGGAGCCGGTCGGCAAGCGTACCTGCAGAGATGTTTCCCTGCTTGGTGCTGCTCATCGTGACGGCCCCGGAGCGGTGGCGCCATCGGAGGAGGAAGGCATGACGGCCTTAGGTGTTTGGCAACACTGCAAAGCATTATTGCAGGTTTGAAAGGTCTCTGAGGGTCAGGGGGTCAGATGTCCCCGAGGAACTTGGGGCACACCTCGAATCGACACCGTCCAGGGCCAGGCCACCCGGAAGTGCCACTTGACTTTGGTGAAGGCATTCTCCACCGGGTTGAACTCCGGGCTGTAGGGTGGTGTGAAGATGGCCTCTAAGCCCTTGGCCGTCACCACCTCACACACTGGGGCGGCTCGGTGTATGGAAGCATTGTCCATCACGGCACTGGGTGCAAAGGGCAGGTGGATGCGGGAGAAGTCAACCACACCGCGGGAAAACGGTGGTGTGTTGTGCTGTCGCTCACGACCACGAGCAGCAAGGAGTGCTGCTGCCAGCAAGTGGTCGGGGACCGGACGACACAGCAGGAGGATTTTCTCGGAGGAGTAGCACACATCGACCAGGACAACGGTACGACCAGTGTCAAGGTGGGGAGGCCAGGGTCACCATCCCTACGAACGCGGAGGGGGGTTAAGAACGTTCTTAAGTCGTTCTTAGCCCAGCCAAATTGATAAAATCGAATAATCAGTAGAACGTTCTTACATCGTTCTAAGAACGTTCTAAGAACGTTCGTATGACCTCCGTTTATCTTAAAACCGTTCTTTCAAATTCTTTAGCATTCTTCAGGTCCCAGCAGTCTTATGTATTCTCTTCCATGCTTTGGGGTGTTCTTATACGTACTTAGTGATTCTTTCTCTAAAGCATACTTAGCTTCTCTCTGGCCGGTTTTAACCATTCTTACCATAGGTTTGCTAAGTATGGCACCCATTCTTAAGTCTCATTCTTAAGAAATAAAACCACTCTTTACCATTCTCTACGATTCTTTACCATTCTTTAGGGTCAGCAGTCTTATGTATTCTTTTCGTTCTTTGGGTGTTCTTATACATTCTTAGGCCAACTTATTGATTCTTTGCCTAAAGCATACTTAGCTGCTCTTTGGCGGGTTTTAACCATTCTTACCATAGGGTTTGCTAAGTATGGCACCCATTCTTAAGTCT